TTTTAAAAGCGCCGTTGCTTATAAATAAATTAAGAGCTCGAGAGTCAGAAATAGTTGGAAAAATATAGTTATTTTAAGGATTGTATTAAAAAATAAAGCGGCGAGCGCTCTAAACAGGAACTAGAGAAGCGGGAAGACTTAACGATAGACCTGAATTTTAAAAGCGCCGTTTCTTATAAATAAATTTAGAGCTCGAGAGTCAGAAATAGTTGGAAAAATATAGTTATTTTAAGGATTGTGTTAAAAAATAAAGCGGCGAGCGCTCTAAACAGGAACTAGAGAAGCGGGAAGACTAAACGATAGACCTGAATTTTAAAAGCGCCGTTGCTTATAAATAAATTAAGAGCTCGAGAGTCAGAAATAGTTGGAAAAATATAGTTATTTTAAGGATTGTATTAAAAAATAAAGCGGCGAGCGCTCTAAACAGGAACTAGAGAAGCGGGAAGACTTAACGATAGACCTGAATTTTAAAAGCGCCGTTTCTTATAAATAAATTTAGAGCTCGAGAGTCAGAAATAGTTGGAAAAATATAGTTATTTTAAGGATTGTGTTAAAAAATAAAGCGGCGAGCGCTCTAAACAGGAACTAGAGAAGCGGGAAGACTAAACGATAGACCTGAATTTTAAAAGCGCCGTTTCTTATAAATAAATTTAGAGCTCGAGAGTCAGAAATAGTTGGAAAAATATAGTTATTTTAAGGATTGTGTTAAAAAATAAAGCGGCGAGCGCTCTAAACAGGAACTAGAGAAGGGGGAAGACTAAACGATAGACCTGAATTTTAAAAGCGCCGTTTCTTATAAATAAATTAAGAGCTCGAGAGTCAGAAATAGTTGGAAAAATATAGTTATTTTAAGGATTGTGTTAAAAAATAAAGCGGCGGGCGCTCTAAACAGCAACTAGAGAAGCGGGAAGACTAAACGATAGACCTGAATTTTAAAAGCGCCGTTTCTTATAAATAAATTAAGAGCTCGAGAGTCAGAAATAGTTGGAAAAATATAGTTATTTTAAGGATTGTATTAAAAAATAAAGCGGCGAGCGCTCTAAACAGGAACTAGAGAAGCGGGAAGACTAAACGATAGACCTGAATTTTAAAAGCGCCGTTTCTTATTAAAATATTTAGAGCTCGAAAGTCAGAAATAGTTGGAAAAATATAGTTATTTTAAGGATTGTGTTAAAAAATAAAGCGGCGAGCGCTCTAAACAGGAACTAGAGAAGCGGGAAGACTAAACGATAGACCTGAATTTTAAAAGCGCCTTTTCTTATTAAAATATTTAGAGCTCGAGAGTCAGAAATAGTTGGAAAATTATAGTTATTTTAAGGATTGTGTTAAAAAATAAAGCGGCGAGCGCTCTAAACAGGAACTAGAGAAGCGGGAAGACTAAACGATAGACCTGAATTTTAAAAGCGCCGTTTCTTATAAATAAATTTAGAGCTCGAGAGTCAGAAATAGTTGGAAAAATATAGTTATTTTAAGGATTGTGTTAAAAAATAAAGCGGCGAGCGCTCTAAACAGGAACTAGAGAAGCGGGAAGACTAAACGATAGACCTGAATTTTAAAAGCGCCGTTTCTTATAAATAAATTTAGAGCTCGAGAGTCAGAAATAGTTGGAAAAATATAGTTATTTTAAGGATTGTGTTAAAAAATAAAGCGGCGAGCGCTCTAAACAGGAACTAGAGAAGCGGGAAGACTAAACGATAGACCTGAATTTTAAAAGCGCCGTTTCTTATTAAAATATTTAGAGCTCGAAAGTCAGAAATAGTTGGAAAAATATAGTTATTTTAAGGATTGTGTTAAAAAATAAAGCGGCGAGCGCTCTAAACAGGAACTAGAGAAGCGGGAAGACTAAACGATAGACCTGAATTTTAAAAGCGCCGTTTCTTATTAAAATATTTAGAGCTCGAAAGTCAGAAATAGTTGGAAAAATATAGTTATTTTAAGGATTGTGTTAAAAAATAAAGCGGCGAGCGCTCTAAACAGCAACAAGAGAAGCGGGAAGACTAAACGATAGACCTGAATTTTAAAAGCGCCGTTTCTTATTAAAATATTTAGAGCTCGAGAGTCAGAAATAGTTGGAAAATTATAGTTATTTTAAGGATTGTGTTAAAAAATAAAGCGGCGAGCGCTCTAAACAGGAACTAGAGAAGCGGGAAGACTAAACGATAGACCTGAATTTTAAAAGCGCCGTTTCTTATAAATAAATTTAGAGCTCGAGAGTCAGAAATAGTTGGAAAAATATAGTTATTTTAAGGATTGTGTTAAAAAATAAAGCGGCGAGCGCTCTAAACAGGAACTAGAGAAGCGGGAAGACTAAACGATAGACCTGAATTTTAAAAGCGCCGTTTCTTATAAATAAATTTAGAGCTCGAGAGTCAGAAATAGTTGGAAAAATATAGTTATTTTAAGGATTGTGTTAAAAAATAAAGCGGCGAGCGCTCTAAACAGGAACTAGAGAAGCGGGAAGACTAAACGATAGACCTGAATTTTAAAAGCGCCGTTTCTTATAAATAAATTTAGAGCTCGAGAGTCAGAAATAGTTGGAAAAATATAGTTATTTTAAGGATTGTGTTAAAAAATAAAGCGGCGAGCGCTCTAAACAGCAACAAGAGAAGCGGGAAGACTAAACGATAGACCTGAATTTTAAAAGCGCCGTTTCTTATAAATAAATTTAGAGCTCGAGAGTCAGAAATAGTTGGAAAAATATAGTTATTTTAAGGATTGTGTTAAAAAATAAAGCGGCGAGCGCTCTAAACAGGAACTAGAGAAGCGGGAAGACTAAACGATAGACCAGAATTTTAAAAGCGCCGTTTCTTATTAAAATATTTAGAGCTCGAGAGTCAGAAATAGTTGGAAAAATATAGTTATTTTAAGGATTGTATTAAAAAATAAAGCGGCGAGCGCTCTAAACAGGAACTAGTGAAGCGGGAAGACTAAACGATAGACCTGAATTTTAAAAGCGCCGTTTCTTATAAATAAATTTAGAGCTCGAGAGTCAGAAATAGTTGGAAAAATATAGTTATTTTAAGGATTGTATTAAAAAATAAAGCGGCGAGCGCTCTAAACAGGAACTAGAGAAGCGGGAAGACTAAACGATAGACCTGAATTTTAAAAGCGCCGTTTCTTATTAAAATATTTAGAGCTGGAAAGTCATAAATAGTTGGAAAAATATAGTTATTTTAAGGATTGTGCTAAAAAATAAAGCGGCGGGCGCTCTAAACAGGAACTAGAGAAGCGGGAAGACTAAACGATAGACCTGAATTTTAAAAGCCTTTGTCGAAGAGCATGACAGAGAATGGCAGAGTATGGGATCATCATCTTCTGTCATTCTCTGTCATTAATCCTGTCATTCTGTGTCATTCTCTGTCATGGATTTTTTTAGCTGGGCCCATGTGAGGCCCAAGCCGGGCCCATTTCATTCTCTGTCATTCTCTGCCATTCTGTGTGATTCCCTGTCATACTGTGTGATTCTCTGTGATATTTTATCATTCTGTGTCATGTTGTGTCATTCTGTGTCATTCCCTGCCATTATGTGTCATTCTGTGTCATTTTGTGTAATTCTCTGTCATTTTTTGTGTCATTCATATTTTAGGGGCCTCATATGGGACCCTAACACTGGGCCCATTTCGTTTTACTTCATTCCCTGTCATTCTGTGTCATTCCCTGTCATTCTGTGTCATTCCCTGTCATTATGTGTCATTCTCTGTCATTTAGTGTTATTCTTGTTAATTTTGTGTCATTCTGTGTAATATTGTGTCATTCTGTGCAATTTTGGGCCATTCCCTACCAGCTGCCCGCGCGTCAATATTTAAAGAAAAAAAGTTCAATTAACAATATACTTATTGATCATCATCACAAAAAACACAAAAAATTTTTATCCATGAGCTCAAAATATTGTTAATTGCACTTTTTTTCTTTAAATATTGACGCGCGGGCAGCTGGTAGGGAATGTCCCAAAATTACACAGAATGACACAAAATGACAGAGAATGACACATAATGACAGTGAATGACACATAATGACAGTGAATGACACAGAATGACAGGGAATGACAAAGAATGACAGGGAATGAAGTAAAACGAAATGGGCCCAGTGTTAGGGTCCCATATGGGGCCCCTAAAATATGAATGACACAAAATGACAGAGAATTACACAAAACGACACATTATGACAAAGAATGACACAGAATGACACATAATGGCAGGGAATGACACAGAATGATAAAATATGACAGAGAATCACACAGTATGACAGGGAATCACACAGAATGGCAGGGAATGACAGAGAATGAAATGGGCCCGGCTTGGGCCTCACATGGGCCCAGCTAAAAAATCCATGACAGAGAATGACACAGAATGACAGGATTAATGACAGAGAATGACAGAAGATTATGCTCCCATACTCTGTCATTCTCTCTGTCATGCTCTTCGACGAAACTTCGCCTACCCCCAAAATCGACCCCCGCGAGTCCAAAAGACCGTTAACATGTTTCTGAAATAAAGTATTTATGATACAAACCTTTGAATCCGCTTGAGGAACTGACCCAACTACGATCCATGGTCGTTGGAATTTCCCGGAATTTCCGTCCTCTGGCCAAATTTATGAAAGATGCGGAGAGAAAAAGCGATGTCGGTGTCGATGACTTAATTCTTGCAAGGAGCGACTTCTTTGTGTCTGTGCCACACAAGTTTGGCGTCTGGCCTGTGTCCGGCCTGCGTGTGGCCTGCGTATGACCTGCGTCCGGCGTCTGCTTGGTCTGTCTGCTCACTCTACTTCACTCTGCTCTCTGCTGTTTCCCGGCTTAGACTTGTTAGTTTGGCAATGCTTGCATGAAACGTCGTGAGATGGAGCGGCAGTCGTGATCGTGAAATAATGAGAATAATTGACCATTGACGTTTTATTGGTGGATTTGGTGGAATGTGATCTGAGTTTAACAGGTTTGAGAGGTTTGATCACTTTGATCACGTTGACGCAGGAAAAAAGGAGAAATTAAGTAATGAAAGACAAGCACAAGCGCCACAAGCAGACGCAGCAAGAAAGAGAAGAGACAGAAGAGTGACGAGGAGCGACACGTCATATGAGACAGAACAAAACGAAACGAGTCGAATTAGTCGACTCGAAACACGTCAACACTCGCTCGGCTCGCTCATTTGCGTTAGCATGATAAGCGTAATTATGTACGTACATAATTATATTAATATGACTGCAATTTCATTAGAGAGATCATGAAAACGTGTACAGTTCTAATGTTTCCATCGTTTTTATTTGCACCTGCTTAATAACGTATACATAGATTCAAAAATTATTAACAATTTTTTGTGTGTTTAAACAATGTTGGCAGGTATTTTCGATAATAATTATATCTTCATACACATCTGTAGCGATTGATCGACAATTTGGAGCTACAATTAAAGAAGGTGAATATAGAAAAGAACAAAATGTCGTCAAACAAAGATCGAGGAAAAGAAACCGGCGCAAGAAAGGAAGAAAATGCAGAGGCCGAGATCGATTCGCCCAGTTTTCCGGATCTCCACCATCGTCTTGTCCTCATGCTCAGGGAACTTCAAGAAAAAAGGGTATGTACTTTTTTTATTTTGTGAAAGATAATCATTTTAATTGGGAAACATTTCAGGTTGTGCACACATTGGATCAGAGAGAAATGAGCAGAATGACGATGAAAAGCAACGAGCAGGAGCGAATGCTCGAGTGCGAACGAAGATCTCTGTCCGGTCTGCAAGTGCAACTGGACTTTCATTCTCAAAGTGTCCGAAAGAAGGACGCAGAGTTGGAAACTTCTGTCCAGAAGGCACTCAGATTGGAGGTCCAGTTGTCTCTTGCCAAGCAGGAAATTGGTGTTCTCCGAGCAGAGTCCCACAAATTAGAGGTGATTTTTTATTTATTTTGCCAGCAATTTTACTTTGACACCTTTTTAGGTTCAAATTCTGGAGTTGACACAAAAAGCAGCGAGTCTTGAGACAAGGATGATTCAGTTTGCCAATTTCAACGAATCCTGTGGAGGCTTTCAAGACAAAGTTAAATTTTATCTTGCATCGTCTGAACAGTGAGATTAGAATTTGTATAAATGACTGATTTTGATACTCGAATTGTGCAGTGAATTGTCTTCGCTGAGAAAAGAAGTTTGCCGAGTTCAAGATGATGTTGAAAAGTGTTGTAAGCAAGCTGTGGGTTTTGATGCCTCAGTTGAGATGTTTGAGACTCTGCAGAAAAGTCATCTGATTGAATATGACAAATTGCGGAATGTCTTGGTAGAAAAGCAAAGTACACATTTTGTTGCCTTAGTTCTCGATTATAGTAATTAAGATAAGTATTTTTTTTGCATAATAAAAGTCCACTTTTCAGAATGTATTGATGGTCTTCAAAAAAATATGCTACTATCGAAAAACACTGATAAACCAAATGAAAGCAGTTTGACAAAAGAGGTTTAACTATTATAAACGTTTCATAAACTTATTTTATATAATGGATTTTCAGCTTGTTTGTCAAATCAAAACCTTAGAGAAAAGTCTTGCAAGTGAGAAAATGGTCTCGAAACAACTGAAAGACATTCTGAGCAAAGCTGTTCAGTCGCAGGAGATTCTCCAAAAGCTTGAATCAGAGACAAATTCTAAGCTGAGTCTTGCAGAGGCAAAGTTAGCTGCCGGCAAAGCCAGCGAAGACGTTTCGAAGCAAGAAATAATTGACCTCAAGTTTATATTGAATATTTTCTATATAGCTTTGGAGCTTATTTGTTAATTTGTTTTATAGAAATGAGTTGAAGCAGCTGCAGATTTCCTCAAAGAAAGCCCCAACTGATGAAAAGTCAGTCCAAACCGACAAGCAAGAAATTTCATCCGAGGCGCAGAGCACAAACAACGTCAAAGTTGCAGAGGAATGTCCTGAAAAAGTGGTAACAGATTCTGCCAGGAACTTGGACGAAGTAAAAAGACAGTTCCATTCTGCTCTAACCACTTCAGGAGATGACTGGAGTAAATACTCCGACGTGTTGACCACCAAATGAAGAAAATTTGAAGTAATTTGCAGACAGTCCAATCCAAAGCTTATCTTTTAATGCTTTTAATTAATTCTACATAGGAAATGTTTAAGGTCTGATTGATAAAATGCATGAATTTATTTCAAAACATTTCATTTATTATGTACAATATGTGAATTGAATGAAATTATTTAACCTAACCACTGAGACCGATATTGTGAATATGTTCAATAATACGCCATAAATGGGTTACATCTGAATATTATATGTATTGAACTCCTGAATGTATTTAATAGATTAGAAGATTACCTTAGATTTCTTTTACGATGGGCTGATCACAATTAAGGCTTCTATCCGATGCAAAAAATAAAATATTATGTAACAAAAAGAGGGAAATGAAAATTCCATTTGTTTGTCTTTTGTTCATTTTATTTATATTTCATTTGTGAGCTTATAATTCGGAGTGGGTTTAATTTGATGTGAAGCAGATGTGAAGGATAGCATTTATCTAGAAAACCTGTTTTAAATAATTGTCAAATAAATCATATAAGCGTCCACACTTTGGTTTTTAAGACGTGAAATCACCCTGAAGAAATTTCATACATAAGTGTCTTTGTTTTGAAAAGGACGTCAACAGGAATCCATTCATAAAGATCTTATAAAAATCATGAAAAATTTAAAAGAATTCTTTTATTTTATTTTATTAATTTTTACATTTGTCGATATTATATCGGATATAATATTTCTCTTTATGTCAGACTTAAGCGTAAAAGAAGCAGAGAACTTTTTAATAATTCCATGTAAATAGAACATATAAATTTAAATTCGCACATCAAAAACTTAAAATTGTTTATGTAGTGTGATAATTTTCTCTTGAGAGAAATTGTGTGTTGCCATGGAAACGAGTAGCACGGCCTATAGGCTTGGCAACGGTGCGCTGCGGAGAAGGCCGAGAGGGGGTGGGGGTTGTGCTGGCGCTGGCAGGAGCGAAAGAAGCCTGCCCTGGTTCATACAAGTTTGTGCAAAAGTGTGCACGATTCTCAACAAAAATCACACCCTTCGACAGTGTGACGACCCGTAAGATTTTGCACACCACAAAGGCACAAAAACGGAGAGCGTCGGTTTCGGCCATCTTGCACGTTTGCTTCGGCATAGAGTGTCCTACTTCGGCATTTTGCCGCGCACACCCAATTCGGACGGGCCGGGACGGTAAAAAAAAGTTGGACGAGACTGTTGCGGCGGCCGCAGACGTTTGCAAAAATTTCAATAGGGTAGGTTATCTAAGGAGATTTTGGTGTCTGGTTTTTAGTGGCGTTTCCACTCGCGCCGCAAAAACGATCAGGTTAATCAAATCGGCGAATGTGTTGAACGAAAAAGTTAAAATTTGGTTTCATTTGATAAAAAGGGTATTATTCGGAACATGAGAAGTATCTCAATTTTTAAATTTAAAGCCGGCCTTTTTCCTACTTTCAACTTTCATCTCACAATAATTAATTCAGAGAATTTGTGAGTTAAAATTAAATGGAGATCATCAGATCAGCAGAAGTGCCATAAAAACAGAAACCATTTGTTCGATAAGCAATTCCTTTTAATATTATCTAAAATTTACCTTTTCATATCCTCAGGTGAAACCTCGCTTGTCTCTTGTGTGCAGGACGCTCTGCTGCTATATATTTGTGCTTTTCTGGACAAAAAATGCTGAAAGGTGAGCAGATCAGACATGGAGGGCTCCCTCTCGGACTGATTGATCCGGACAAGTTGAGGAACCTGGGCAACGAGTTCTTCCAGGCCGGCGACTACTGGAACGCGGTGTCCCATTACACCAAGAGCCTCGCCAGGGCTGCTGCCGGCAGCGAACTGCGTGGCCTGGCCTACGCCAACCGAAGCGCAGTCCTGCTTTGCCTGGGCTACTACGACGAGTGCATCAGCGACGCCAAATTCGCTCTGCAGAACAACTACCCTGATAATTTGGCTTACAAACTGCACCTGAGAATGGCCACCTGCTACAAGGCTCAGGGTCAGCAAACTGAAGCCGAAGTGCACATGCAGGCGGTTATGCGGCTGTTTGAGGATCAGCAAATGGAGTCGGCAGCCTTTGAGCGCATCAAAGGCCAATTCGCAGAACGTCACCAGCCAAAGTTGCCGCGAATCAGAGTAGAGTACCTTGAACCTCCTCCTCTGTGCTGCGGACCACATCCCCAGGACTCGTCCATTTCGTCAGCTCTCGACATAAAGCTTATTGGCCAGAAATTGTCATTGGTGGCCAACAGGAATATTAACACCGGTATAATTATTTTGAATGATCTGTTTGCTGAAATTGATTTTAAAATGCTCTTTTATTATTGCATAGGTGACGTTCTGCTGATTGAGGAACCAAAGCTCGTGGTCAACCATTGCCACATGAATGGAGGTGATCCAAGTTGGATCCACTGCAGTCGCTGCCTCAAGGTTTGTGTAAACCTCCAGCCTTGCCAGACCTGCTCTCAGGTAAATTTGATTTTCATTAGATTATTGTTTCTTCATATATATCCCAAATCGAAATCTTAAATACACTGCTTTTGAGTTTTAAATTTAATGTAGCATCATTTGTCAGATTCAAATTTAATTCTGCAAAACCAATAAAACTCAAATAATACCAGATTATAGAAATTATGAGATAATTTCAAATTCCTATTTTATGCCTCACCGTATTTATTATCGAAGCATGAATATATGTCTTATTTTTCCCATTTGTGTTCCAGGCTCTTTATTGTAGTGAGACGTGTGTATCTGAAGCCTGGGAAAACTACCACAAGAATGAGTGCATGGTGAAGAAAGAGATCGTTGAGAAGCTTATCAGCGGGAAAATCAACACATCACACCCTGTTGGATTCATCGCCGCAGTCAATTATTCTTTTGCCATGATTTCGAAATACGGCCTTGAAACATGCATCAACTATTTTGTTGAAAATGCCGACCATTCTAGCACACCGCAGGAACTCAGAGACTTGATGCAAATTGAAGGATGTGAAATGGGTGATTTAGCATACGGTGAACCATTCCAGGCTGGCATTCGGAGAGTCACTAAATCTAAATCTTTGGGCTTATCTTCTGCTCAGAAACCAGCACTTTTCAAATTTTTGGTGAAATCTGCTAAGATCCTGTTTGGGGGGCACATTAATAGGCACCTGATGCTCACTGAGATGTCTCTAGTTGGTGGGGAACTTTGTGCCGATCCTTCTGGTCTTATCAACATTGCTTTTGGTATTTACCCCAAAACATCCAGGCTGATTTCAACTTGTGATTCCAACACTTTCTGTCATTATTATCAGAAAACTTTGGTTCTTCGAGCCTCGCGACCAATTTCTGTTGGCGAAAATGTCTCGATCACTACAAGGGGCATGAAGTACTCGGTGGCTCCACTAGAAGAGCGCAAGGCTGTTTACTGCTCACTGTTTGGTCGCTCTTTCAGGTGCCATTGCAGAGCTTGCATAGAGGATTGGCCGGAGTCAAAAAACCTAACCACCTGCCACGAGTTCGTCACTTGCAATGACAAATTCAAAAGATTTCTCTGTCCCAAATTTGAGGCAAACATTAGGCAGCCAATGCATTTATTCCGTGGAAAACTGCACCTTTCCAAACTTTCTCCTGAGAACTTGACACTGTGCCAACAAATTCAGCAATTGTACGTTGACCAACGAAAGGATGATCAGCAGTATAATAATGTGTCTGATTTTCTCTATATTTATTTTCATGTCCATGTTAAAAAGTATTTGAAGGAGAGTGGCACCAATGCAAAACCTAAGCAGTTGGATCATTTCATCCCCTGCAAGGTATTCTAATTTTTGTGCTGATTTTTTAATAGAATATTAATGTCCTGCTCAATATTGATGCAATTGTAAAAAAATTATAGCTGTAAAATTTGATTCAACTTATTCTATAAATTAAGCATTTTATTTTAAGTATTTCTTATATATTGGCTTGAGGATTTGTTATTCATTTATGTGCGCTGCTTCTAAAAATAAATTGACTTTAAATAATGCTGTACCAATTTTGTTCTTCAACCCAAAATTTGCAACTTATCGCTTAAGAAGAAATGAACTTGACTGCTTAAATTCATTTACAATGAAGCAAAAAGCTTAATTTCACAAATAACAATTTCGCATTTTGTAAGATCTAAAGATCTTGTAATAAAAAGTCACAGAATTTTAATCGAAACCAAAGCTCACAATGTTGACTTTCGCAAGATGAATTGAAGTGTGAATACTAGTATAATTGAAACACACGGATCTTCTTTTGTTATAAAATTTATTATTAAACCCTTAGAGAATCAAATTTATTTACAGAAAAATGAGGACATTGCTAAATATGTAATTAAATTACATTTTTCCTGCATCAAATAATTGTTGTGAAAAAAGCTTCTCATAATGAAATCGTAGGTGTCAAGGAGTTCTTATATTCTAAATACATTCAGGTGTTTAATACATTTGTTTTAGATGTTAAATTTTAATTGTATTGTCCTAGTAAAAATACTAACATTAAGATTATAATCTGAAGCAAAGAGAAATCCTAAAAATCCATTCAATTCTATGGAGCGAAGGAAATGTTGTTCCTGATGAGGCTCTGCAAGCATTGTCCGCTTCCATCTTCTTTCTTACCCTCTTCTTGGGCACCTATTTTTCCACCAGCACTGGCGGACTCAGTTTCTCTTCCCTGTACTGCAGCCACTGCTTCCTCAGCATCCACTTCCTCTCCTCCTCACTTTCCCTGATCAAATTCAATGAATTTTCCATTAACAGAAATGACACTCACATTTCATTGCAGGATTTCTTCTTTTTGCCCTCCTCGTCAGTGTCAAAGTCAAGGAACAAGTTGTCCACTTCGTCCTCGTCTTCATTGGAACTAGCACAAAAGCCATCCTTTCACCCTCAAACAAGTCCTCTTTGTAGTCCAGCGAAGGACTAATTTAATCCACATTTCATTCATTTGGTCTTAAAGACATTTTAGGAAGACTTACGCAAAGCAAGACATGTAGCTTGGCCAGAGCAGCAGCGAGAAAAACCTCTGCATGAAAAGGGACACGGCTTCTTCAGGATTGGCAATTCACGAGAGCCTTTGCCATTCTGCTCAGGACGGGCGTCTTCGTCAACTAAAGAAAAATATATAAAAATTTGGTAAAATGAATTGAGACCTTCATATTGTAATCCAAATCAGGTGGGTTCCAGGTCAAGTCAGCCCTGGTGAAAACTCCCTTGAGGTGTAGGTTGGCACCTCCCTCTTATCCTCCAGGCTCATGGGCAAAATGTTGCGCTCTTCCAGAAGAGTCGTTCTGAGGAATCAATTGAGTGACACTCGTCTTGCCACAGTCCCAGCCCACTTTGAAACGCAGCATCCGCAGCTGGCGGTACACGTTGAGGATGCTGTAGTAGTCGGGGTCAGTGGCCGCGGCCTTGACCATCCGCTGCTTGCAAAAGACCTGGTGCAGCTCAAAGTGCAGGGCGTTTTTCTTTTTTCCCTTCCGACCGACCCTTTAAGCCTTCTGGGCATCAGAAGCAAACTTGACCACATTCCTGGCTTTGTATTAAATCTTGATATTTTTTCTCTTATTTCACAAGAGCAGAACGTACATTTAAATGAAGTTCGCATTTGTGTGGCCACTTATTTCTTTAAATTCTTCTTTACATTTATATTAGCATCTACACAAAAAACTGAAGCAACTAAAGGTATTCTTTTTCCACCAGAAGGTATCAAAACCCACAGCTTGCTTACAACACTTTTCAACATAATCTTGAACTCGGCAAACTTCTTTCCTCAGCGAAGACAATTCCCTGCACAATTCGAGTATCAAAATCAGTCATTTATACAAATTCTAATCTCACTGTTCAGACGATGAAAGATAAAATTTAACTTTGTCTTGAAAGCCTCCGCAGGATTCGTTGAAATTGGCAAACTGAATCATCCTTGTCTCAAGACTCGCTGCTTTTTGTGTCAACTTCAGAATTTGAACCTAAAAAGGTGTCAAAGTAAAATTGCTGGCAAAATAAATAAAAAATCACCTCTAATTTGTGGGACTCTGCTCGGAGAACACCAATTTCCTGCTTGGCAAGAGACAACTGGACCTCCAGTCTGAGTGCCTTCTGGACAGAAGTTTCCAACTCGGCGTCCTTCTTTCGGACACTTTGAGAATGAAAGTCCAGTTGTACTAGCAGTCCGGACGAGAGATCTTTGCTCACCCTCGAGCATTTGCTCCTGCTTGTCGCTTTTCATCATCATTCTACTGATTTCCCTCTGATCTAATGAATGCGCAAAACCTGAAGTATTTTCAAATTGCAATGATAATTTCTTTTTAAATAAAATCAAAATCTACCCTTTCTTCTTGAAGTTCTCTGAGAATGAGGACAAGACAATGGTGGAGATCCGGAAAAATGGGCGAATCGATCTCGGCCTCTGCATTTTCTTCCTTTCTTGCGCCGGTTTCAATTCCTCTCGTTCTTGTTTGACGACATTTTGCTTGTCAATGTATACCTATATGTGATATACCTTTGCAGCTTCTAATTCTTGATCATTCACTTCAGATGTTTAAGAAGTAATAATAAAATACCTGCCAACATTATGTCAAGCACATATAAAAATGCTCATTACGGATAAAAGGAATTTAAAAAATATTTGATGTTGAAATCAGTAATAAAGGAAATACCTTCTTTTCCGGAGTAATGAATTTTCCTTTCTGCAGATTCTTGACAGTGGATTCGAGTTTCTTGTCATCGGCGCCACTCCAAACCTCCCTGAACTTGTTCAGAATGCTTAATTTGGTAGTGCAGGAAGCACTGGTACATGGATGAGCGTTTGCCACTCATTTCGGCACTGACGGCCGCCCAGTTTTGAAAACTGTACTTGCTCGCAGCAAACTAAATAAAAAATATTCACGTAATTAAATTAATACCTTCCATCGTGGGAAAAATCTATGAGTAAAGCAGCATCACAGCCAGAGACTTAAACTGAGAGTGGAATTGAGGTCACAATTCTTCGATTTTACATTTCTATTTATGCCATTAATTGGCGTAGGTGAAGCAGTTTCTCTACATTTCAAACAATACTGCAGAGATTTGTCATTTATAAAATATCTAATAATCAATCTAGTCGATTTTTTGTTATCTAAAAGAAGTTCTCACAAATTACCCTCAAGAGATCATTTTCATGTTTGGTCCAGGCCGTCCTCTCCAGGGTGAGGACCAAGCACTGCTTCCACATGGCTTGCAGCTCGAGTGGCGAACGCTGACCTTTGAATTCGGTGACCGAAATGCGGCACCAGTCGTGCTCAGCCTTTTGGTCGCTGAGCTTGTCAAAAAGGGCTTCGCCACTCATTTGCTGGATCTGCTCGTTGATCTCGGCAATGCGCACATCGGCGGTGAGGGCCGACGACAAGTTTGCTTTCCTCTCCACTTTCTGCTGGTCCACCTTTTGGCCACCAAAGGCCTCCGCAGGGCACCCAGGGCCACTTTGCGCAAGGTCACCTCCAACAGCTTCATCTCCCAGTGCTGCCCTGTTTATAAAATCTTACAGTTAGTAAAAAAGGTGATTTTTTTCCAATTGTATAACATTTCTTAAGAGCCTCGAGATTGGCGAAGTCCAGAAAGCCCTCCTGCTCCATTTTCACTTGGTCGGAGTTCTTGCCGGGCGAAAACTTCTTCATGTCCTTGAAGTATGGCGACCCTAATAATTCTTGATTGACCTGTACGACCGGTCAAGTGTCCTCGAACGCCTCGGCACTTTGGAACTTGAGTTTCAGATCAGCTAGTGGCGGCCTTTAAGGCCTTTTTCCCCAACAACTAAAAAAAGAGAGTTCAAAAATGGCAAACACATAATTTTCTCCGCAGGCACTACTGCCATAAATTCGATTAATTCTTCAGTTCTTCTTAAGATTATCGATTTTCTCTTGCAACAAATTCTCGTTGCCGTCGGCGGCAGAAACCTGTCTTTGCTCAGGCATAGCGATATTATCGACCGTGGTCCCAAAAATGTAAGAAAAGACGCAATTTGCGCCGTTGTTATTGAAGCAAAAATTGTGGTTGCGTCTTCGTTTTATTATGCAATTTGAACCTGCCGCCTAAAGTGCGGAGAGGGGAACGCTGGAGGCAAAAAGGGCTGGAGGCTCAACACCCTCTCCTCGTTCCCTCTGCCGCTGGCCTGTGCTGCCCTCTGTCCGTACGCCAGCGACTCACCACTGTCAACAGGCCTTTTGTGGATTCTCGCACATTTTCCCCTAATTTTGCAGCTTTTTCCAGACTCCAGAGACAATGGATCGACTGGATCGAGGGTGGTTAAAATCGTTTAAAGGTCAGTATTTTCTGTTCCGCGTTTAACACGTAATCATAAATTATGCGTATGCAATATTATAATCTTCAATCCCAACTTTTTGCCATTGAATATAAAATGGGGCGAAAAACATATTATATGTTAATACTGCATAAATATTTGAAAGCAGAGTGCATTTAATTACGTTAATGTGTTCTATTTTACTTTGCAGTTGCAGTGCTGAGCTCTGAAAGCACCAGGGTGCTTTCCATGGAAGCCAGCACTGTCAACAACTTGCAGCTGAATGAAGCCCCGTTGCAATTGCTGGCCTTGCGGGAAGTTGTTTCCCTGTTTTTGAATCCAGAAAGAGCTGAGCGATATTTGAGCCGAGAGCTACTGATGACTTTGAGTAAGATATTATTTGAAATAATTACATTTTCGTTTGTTATTATTTGAACATTTTATTTTATACTTGAACAAAGAAACATATTAATAAGTCATGAGGAAATTTAAAAAAATGTTTGTTTATAGAGCCATCTAAATAAAAAATTATAACATTTTGCAGCTGATGAGTCCAAAACGGAGGTCCTGGCCAGGCTCTCAAAATTGGTTCCGAAGTTTGGATTTGACTTGAAAACTTTTAAATCTGTGCTGCCTTCTGCCAACGGACGGCTGCAGGTTTGTAATTTGCATATATACAATTGTTCTGAATAATTGGTTTCAATTATTGATTAATCGGATACTAAGACACAAATTATCTCAGAAGCTGAAAAATAAATTATTACAGACTTATGATTTCAACCAGTCTGCAAAGTTGCTGCCGCCAGTGGGACTGGTTGAGCTTTTGATCAACAAAGAGCTCGAGGAGATTGACTTGGTTTTACTTGCGAAGTGCAGCGATGAGGAGATTCTACGATTTTGGCAGCGACTCTCTGATCATTCTGTTAATCTGCAAGAAATCAGAAACGCGAATGTATTTCTCAGTTGTGAGACACCCCTGGACAACCTGGCAATAACCAACTGCATCATCAGATTGAGGAACCTGAAATATCTCGACGCCTCAATGTGCTGCCTGAGTGACAGTATGTTTTGAATATAATCTTTAAATAATAATTAATGAGTCATTAATCGTTCTTTTTAGACAATCTTGGCCTGGTAGTGAAGTGTTGCAAAAGTCTGCAAACAATTTGCATGCAAAGGTCAGCCAACTTCACCACCAAAGGAGTGGAACATTTGAAGAAGCTGCCAAATCTCAAAGAGATCTTTATTGGCAGCGACTACTTTAAACAAATGACCCACGCTGAGCTGGAGAAAGCGGCAAACATTCAAGTTCTTTTTGAAAAGCTGCCCAGATTGAAAGTCCTCTGCAGTCTTGCAAAATTAGGTATTTATTTAAATAAAGTTTTTTTCCTAAAATGATCAGTTTCTATACAGAAATCATTTATTTAAGCAATAAATGTTTTAATTTTCAACACTAGAAAGTCTATTGAATTGTTTTATATGTGCATTTTATAATTTTCCAGAGTACCCCCACTTTTACGAAGGGCGTATGCAAGAGGAGGGAGTAACTATTACATTGCTGCCCAAACTGGAAACTTGCTACGACTTGGAGGTTGTTTACCACGTTGCTGGACAAGTCCACAGGTACAAAATTAAATGTTAATATTCAAATAGTCACTTTTACATGTCGCATTTTCAAACAGATTGCCTGAGCTTCTGCCGAATGTGAAGTCCGTTTTCATCAACTACACCCGGAATGAAGCTATTATTAGCCCTGAAATTTTGGTGAAAATGGAGCACTTAGAAATGCTACTTTTATCTGGGAGAGACCACGGTCGCCTTTCACTCCATTCCCTTCAATCAGTTGGCCCACGTCTGAACCAACTGACGTTGCTGCGAATGAGTTTCGCAATCGACGTCTACGAAGTGCTCGACTTGTGCCCCAATGTGGCAAACTTGACAATTGAAGGAGACCTCTCTTCTAACAAAAAACCTTCCAAGCCATGGAAAGGCCACGAGAGAGTTGAGAAAATCTGCCTCGCCTCAGGAGATGTGTTCCTTTCATGCGAAATGGTCTACTGGGAAGTTCTACTTGGCTCACCTCGTCTTAAGACGGTCTGCTTGTACAATCTTGTTTTCACTGATCCTGGGCCCATCGACGAGTTGTTCTATGAGAGATTGACAGCGTTCGGCAGCTGCTTCCTCATTGGATCCCAGCAAGCTTTGGAATGCCACAACCAATTCATGCGGAGTGTTCTCGAGTCTCCAAATTTGAAGAAGTTTGTCTGCTCTGTCCGAGGAAATCGCTTGCAGGAGACCTCGGGGCTTACACTGGCTGATGTCCTCGGGGACAGCAAGTGCTTGTGGAGGAATGCAAGTCCATTCGACGTTCTCTCCGATAATTGACTTATAATTTCTTTTCGGCTGTGAGACATGATAAGCTTGTTGAACACCCAATCAGTGCCCTGAGAAGACAAAGAAATTGGAAGACAGCTCTAATTTGCTCACTTTTCTGTCTTCTCCGTCCTTGAGCTCTTCTCGGATCTGCTCCTCAGCTGGTTCCCCATCTACCTGGCCAATTGCGGCTCTTTTCCTTGTCTGGTGCAGCTCTATTCTGCACTTAAATTTCAATGTTTCATTCATGGTTCAAGAGCGAGCTTTTACTCGACAACCTCTTTCAACAGCCAATTAAACACCCGTCTTGTTTTTTTTTTTTATGTGCGGATCACAAAGAAAATGTAACTCTCTCTCCTATAATTTGAATGATAATAATTCCCATATAATTGTACTCAACATTAAGGACTCCGAAATTAATGTAACTGCTCAAAATAAAGTTTTATTTTTGTTGATTGGACAGAAAATTCTTATTCTTTTTTATTTGTCTGAATACTATTTTCGTATTAATCGGTGCGCAAAAGATATGAAAGGAAACAAATTGTCACATGAAAGATATTTTGTTTTATTTATATCACAAAAGATAAATCCTCTACACATGCAAAAAGATCTTCACACTTGTGATTTTGTTCTTATCAGAAATACTTTTCTTTATTTGTGCTAAATGCAAAATAAAACCGAACAACAAAATGCACTTTTATTGCTTTTTCACCAGGAAGTTCTGCAATTCTCACATTCACTCTGATGAGATTCAGCAAAAGTTTCTAACAATGTAACAAAAGCCACAGCTTTGCTAACAACACTTTTCAACATCATCTTGAACTCGGCACACTTCTTTTCTCAGCGAAGACAATTCCCTGCACAATTCAAGTGAATAAAAGTCATTATAAATTTTCTCATCATGATTTTCCTTTTCAGACAATGAAAGATAAAATTTAACTTTGTCTTGAAAGCCTCCGCAGGATTCGTTGAAATTGGCAAACTGAATCATCCTTGTCTCAAGACTCGCTGCTTTCTGCGTCAACTCCAGAATTTGAACCTGCAAAAGAGTCAAAGTAAAGTTTGCTTGCCAAATAAATAAAAAAATCACACCTCTAATTTGTGGGACTCTGCTCGGAGAACACCGATTTCCTGCTTGGCATGAGACAACTGGACCTCCAGTCTGAGCGCCTTCTGGACAGAAGTTTCCAACTCTGCGTCCGTCTTTCGGACACTTTGAGAATGAAAGTCCAGTTGCACTTGCAGACCGGACAGAGATCTTCGTTCACACTCGAGCATTCGCTCCTGCTCGTTGCTTTTCATGGTCATTCTGCTCATTTCCCTCTGATCTATTGAAGTATTTTCAAAATGGCAATGATAATTTCTTTTAAAATAAAATTAAAATCTACCCTTTCTTCTTGAAGTTCTCTGAACATGAGGACAAGACAATGGTGGAGATCTGGAAAACTGGGCGAATCGATCTCGGCCTCTGCATTAATTTCTTTTCTTCCTCTTTTTTAAATCTATTCCTCGGTCTTTGTTTGACGGCATTTTGTTCTTGTCTATATAAACCTCTGCATCTTCAAATTCTTGATCAATCACATCAGATTTTTATGAAGTTTTAATACACACAAATTCCAAATAATGACAATGAAATGTAATAAAAATACCTTTTGCCACAGAATGAATTTTCCTTTTTGCAGGCTCTTGACGGCGCTTTTGAGTTTCTTGTCATCGGCGCCACTCCAATCTTTCCTGAACTTGTTCAGAATGCATTGGAAGTGCCGGAAGCACTGGTACATGGAGCGTTTAATTGCCACTCACTTAAACACTGACGGCCGCCCAATTTTTGAAAATGTTCTTGCTCTCGATCGCGGTTAAAATTTAACCATTTTCCATGGCAATTAGTGAAGCAGGGTCACTCCATGCCAGCCACACGCTGTAACTATATCAAATTGCATAAAATAAAATTGGCATAATCTTGTGCGATTAACTGTGTAAAAGAAAACTCTTGAATTTTACCTCTACGAAGGCTGATTTCTGTGATTGGTCCGTCCTCTTTGGGGTGAGGACCAAGCACTGCTTCCACATTGCTCGCAGCTCGAGTGGGGAACGCTGACCTTCGAATTCGGTGACCGAAATGCGGCACCAGTCGTGCTCAGCCTCTTGGTCGCTGAGCTTGTCAAAAAGGGCTTCGCCACTCATTTGCTGGATCTGCTCGTTGATCTCGGCAATGCGCACATCGGCGGTGAGGGCCGACGACAAGTTTGCTTTCCTCTCCACTTTCTGCTGGTCCACCTTTTGGCCACCAAAGGCCTCCGCAGGGCACCCAGGGCCACTTTGCGCAAGGTCACCTCCAACAGCTTCATCTCCCAGTGCTGCCCTGTTTATAAAATCTTACAGTTAGTAAAAAAGGTGATTTTTTTCCAATTGTATAACATTTCTTAAGAGCCTCGAGATTGGCGAAGTCCAGAAAGCCCTCCTGCTCCATTTTCACTTGGTCGGAGTTCTTGCCGGGCGAAAACTTCTTCATGTCCTTGAAGTATGGCGACCCTAATAATTCTTGATTGACCTGTACGACCGGTCAGTGTCCTCGAACGCCTCAGCACTTTGGATTTTGAGTTTCAGATCAGCGGTGGCCTTTTTCCCCAACAACTGAAAAGAGAGTTCAAAAATGGCAAATCAAAAGCTATTAAAAGTTCCAAATTTCTCAGACCCTTGCACTCCCGATGCCCATCCTCATGCTCGAATACTCCTCGATAACTTTCTTCAGGGCACTGCTGGTACATGACGTAAAATTTGCATAAATGATGCATTAAATGCGCACCACTTTCAAAATAAGCTGATTTTAGGAACTAATAGTAGTATGTATTGTACCTGCTGAAAGCCAAGTTAATAGCCAAAATCCAAATTGTACTTTTTTTGCTGCACGCTTCAGGTCTTCAAGCTGGCGAGAGAAGATCCAGAATGGCTTCAAAATGTCGAGTTTTTGTGCACTAGCAATTTAGAATTTAGACGCACAATCTCAAGGCCTATTGCAATGGCAAAAAGTGGAAGTTAAATCGGCAAAACGTTAGCTAAGCGTAAATACCAACACGATTACAGTCGTCGTGGTCCTCGGATGCAGCGCAAACGTGTTGAATCGTGTCTCGCTTTGTCGGAGCCTCGCTTCGACGTGAGATTTTTTTACAATATATATGTAATTTTGCGATATTTTCCTTTCATGATGCGTGACGCGTGTCGTTGCGTGCAACAAAGTTGCGTGCATTGCATTATTTTGATTCCCAATTCGCAGGTTGGAAGGTGCTGCCACCTCATGACAGACAATAGCACCGAATAGCACTATCTGCACGATACATCGGTGGTGGCGCGAATATTGAGGGCTTTGGTCGTCTCCAGTGGCAGTGGCTTGTGGAATGTGGAGCGTGCGCGCTTAAGCCCCATCCCGGACTGGGGCTCCGCGGCCCACAGGGCGATATCATTGAAGAAGCGCGGTCCAGTTCGGCGGCGCAGTCTACCTTTCCCCATAAGACCAATGTTAAATTGGGCCGCGGCCCATCGGGGTTGGGCCCGACTGCCCGTGGGCCCAGTCCGGGCCTCGGGTGACTCCAAGCGGATTTTTCTTCGGGGGAACCTGCGTGATTTCTCATGCTGGGACTGCGAGTGAAGGGTTGAAAGTCGGCCGGGGGCCGCAGGATTTCGTGTTGAGAAGGGTACACTTTGCACCTGTTGTATGCAAAAGCGTTTAATACAAAATCTTTTTTTGGCTAAGTGTAAGTGGAGCGTTGATAAATATATAGCGAAATATAGCAGATCATTGGTTTGAATAATTATTCAACTTTAATTATTGGTTCAATGGGGCATTTAACAGCACAGGGAACAAGCACACCTGGTCTATTAAATTATAGAATAAATAAATAAATAAAAATATCAGAATTTTTTGCTAAATCGAACCGCGGAATGCGGGGTGGAACTGGGGGAAGATGGGATTGAAAATTGAAAGTGATGCGGCCGATGCTGCTGTACGAGTAACAAAAAAAGATACAAATTGTTCGGTAATGTTATAGTACGCGCGACGTGATTCCCAAAATCCCTGATTTCAGTTGGCATCACTTGCATTACGTCGCGCGTTTAATAGTGGTTTTACGTCGCGCATACAATAATGGTTTTACGTCGCGCGCTCAATACTGGTGGCGGTGTAATTTTTAAGGAAACCGATTATTCCATCGATACCTCCACAACATGTTTCTTTTCCTACAATCTTAATTAAGGGGACTGCTAGGAAGAATAGGGGCCCTTGGGATGGGTTCAGAATGGGGCAAGACGACCTCCGGAGGGCCGTGCGCACCCTTATAGCACGCGCGACGGGCCGTAAATCCAGTGAGGGGCAAAGCGAACTCCGGAGGGCGCTTTTCACCATCGTAAGAGACGCGACGCATGGTTATAGTACGCGCGACGCATGCTTATAGTACGCGCGACGCATGCTTATAGGAGGCGCGACGCACGACTAATTAATTATTATAAAAGGTGTTGCACGCGGCCGGAGTTGTGGGCGCCCCACGAACCGGCAACTCGGAGGTGGGCAACCCCCAAGATTAATTTTTGCAGAAGCCGCGAGCGAGGGGTGGAGGCGCAGCGAGGTCGAGGACGTGGGGAAGGCCGTGCGGAGGGCGAGGACAAAAGGGCGGCTGTGTTCATGAGGGGGCTCCGCAGGAGCTCCCTCACGAACCCCGCCCTTTTGTCCCGCCCGGAGCCGGCCTTCACCACGTTCTCGGGCGAGCGCGCCTCCAGCCCGAAGCTCGCAAACCCACAACGGAGTTGCTTACAAAAGGAATTGTCTGCAAAAAGGGCTTGGAAAGCAAAAAGTGTGTTGCCCACAACTCCCTTTGCAGACAACACCTTTTGTGGGCAACTCCGTAGTGGGTTTGCGAGCTTCGGGCTGGAGGCGCGCTCGCCCGAGAACGTGGTGAAGGCCGGCTCCGGGCGGGACAAAAGGGCGGGGTTCGTGAGGGGGCTCCTGCGGAGCCCCCTCATGAACACAGCCAAAAAAAAAGGGCTTTTGTCCTCGCCCTCCGCACGGCCTTCCCCACGTCCTCGACCTCGCTGCGCCTCCACCCCTCGCTCGCGGCTTCTGCAAAAATTAATCTTGGGGGTTGCCCACCTCCGAGTTGCCGGTTCGTGGGGCGCCCACAACTCCGGCCGCGTGCAACACCTTTTATAATAATTAATTAGTCGTGCGTCGCGCCTCCTATAAGCATGCGTCGCGCGTACTATAAGCATGCGTCGCGCGTACTATAAGCATGCGACCATGCGTCGCGCCTCTTACGATGGTGAAAAGCGCCCTCCGGAGTTCGCTTTGCCCCTCACTGGATTTACGGCCCGTCGCGCGTGCTATAAACATACGTCGCGCCTGCTATAAGGGTGCGCAATTGTTCGAACGTGGCCCGTTAGATTGGCACAGTAATTCATGGAACTGAACAGGCCATCGATGTTTATTGTTTGGCTAACTAAGGATTATATTGAATAAGCAGATCGATTTATAGATTGAATGTTATTTACAACACATAACGCGCAAGCTGAAAGTAAACTATTACATAGACTTTAAAATGAAATGCTTTGAGGTTTGCGCGCTGTGAGCGATTGCTCAAAATAATGGGAAGAAAAAATTGAACGCAGAGTGCAAATCTTCATATTGCTCTGAAATATTTTCAATATAAAAAAGGAAAACGAACGGTACATTCACACGAGTCTGAATCATTAAGGGACAGTAAAATGTTGCACGAGTAAATTTCTGTGTACACAATGATTTTTCACAGTTATTATCAAGCGGATCACCCACAAGAGAAAAGAATATCCTTTATTAACATAAATCCATCATTCATATCATTTTATAGTGATATTAGTGTCATTTCAAATTTAATTATTATTGTTGAATATTTTTCCAAATTGTTACATCACATTGTTTACAAACAAATTGTTGAAAAACATTTATTTTGGAAAACAAAATTCGGACGCGAGGCGTTGCGCGAGGCGTTTTCTTACCGCGTCGTCAAACCGTGGAATGACACGCCACCCGCCTTAAAAGACTGTACCGCGGCACAGTTTCCAGCGCTGTGCAAGGCGTATCTGTGGCTAAAACTTGATCCGTAGCCCCCCTGCCCAATGGCTCTAGCGGCCGGTGCGCTCTTCTTCGAAGGAGAGTGCGCCCTGCTTTAGCAAGTTGTTTGCTAGCGAAGAGCCATTTCTCCATTCACCCCTCTAACCAACATTCTTTACATGTATTTTCAGTGTTTTATGTTTTATATTGTGTATTGACTTGATGTAATTAAGATGTTGTGCTTTTCTATTGTATCTGAATGGAGAATAAATAAATAAATAAAGAAAAAAAAGAAATTGTTGGACAAAACGGCACCACCACTAGCTATGGACATTAGAAGCTGGATTGGTCGAGACGCCATTTTTCCATTTCAAGACCCCGGGCCGCCTGGGGTCTTGAAACCGAAAAATGGCGTCTCGACCAATCCAGCTTCTAATGTCCATACCACTAGCAAGAATTTTGCTAAAACTTCCGAGGCCAAAAAGACCCCATCCGCCGCAGTGAGCCTCGGCACTGATCACAAAGTTTGCCACAAGTGGGCCTTGCACAGGGTAGGGAACTGTTCCACCGGGCAGGTTTTCAGAGCGTCCGGAAGGGCATTCCAGGGCCCGACGACCCTGAAGGAGAAGGCGTCCTCGGCAAACTTGCTCCGGACATCGGCAGGCTGCAGTTTTTTCGGGCCCAGAGGGTCATCTGATCGGAGGGGATTAAATAATGAATCAGACAAGTCATAAAGACTGTCTGGAGAGGATATTTGAGAAAAAAAATTATGCATTTAATAATATTCTCAGTAAACAGTGCTCAAATGATTTGCAAAATAATTTGGATTTTTGAGGGGCTCTGTGGACAAAAGGTAAAATTTCATTCAATCCCTAGTTACTTGTTGCGTAATTCTCAGTATTATAGCTGGAATTTTGAGTATATGAAAGAAAATTTATTGAGAGAAATAGATCAATATGCACACACCCAACCAACTCCAGACTTCTCACAGCTCTTGCTTAAGAGCAGTGACAGCTCTAAGCTCAGAGCTGCCGCAGCTCCAAGAGAACGTCATGAGAAATTGTTAGAGCAGTGACTGCTCTATCGCAACGTTATGGACAAATTTGTAGAGCTATCACAGCTCTATGAAATTTCCCATAACGTTAAATTAGGTGTAGGGGTGTAGCAGTTCTAAACTTCGTTGGGTGCATGAACAAATATTAAAGTATACATTATACATCACAGATACATCACATTTTATTAATTCCTTTGAGGGAACGAGAAAAAAAGAGGGGAAAATTTCTTTTGTTGTTTGCTCAATTTTAAAAACAACACTATATCCACTTTGTGTGAATGTGAATATAATAAAGACCTAAAATATTTGGAAGTTAAAATTAAAAATAAAATTTTAGTTGAGGTTCATAAGATAATTTTATGCCAATATTTCACATGCGGAGCAAATTAATACCATGAATAATTAATTAATAAATTATCATCATCAGACATTTATTAGACACTTTCGTGTACAACATACAGTATATACCAGATATAATACAATATTTTTTTTTGCTTAAAATAAATTTTTAATATAAAATTACATATATAATAATTTATTTTTTGTTTTTTTTTTGCTCTTTCAGACAAAGTAAGATTATTTGCGCTACATTCAAATAAATGATATAATCCGTTTTACATCCGCACTTTTCACATTCACAGTCTTTATTTATATCAGTATGGAAAGTTTTATTTTTGCAGAGTAGAAAGTGGAAACCGTGCACTGCGTAACTCGTTTTTACATGTCTGTTCGCAAAGTGCGCTCTTGTTTCCAGCTCGGGTTTGTCATTGCGGAAGTATCAAGAATTTTGGATTAAAATTCTCGACTATTGACAAATAGCCCTCAATTTAAAAATTGAGAAAATGTTACCTCTCTAAAAATTACCATAACTATTTATAATGAATGCACTTTTCTAAAAATAAAAATAAAACATGTCTAGACAAACTGTGCACCGCGAAAGTGCTAAAACTGAAAGAGAGCAGCTCAGTGCTCATTTTTAAAAATTAAAAAAAAAATGCGATTTCAGACGAGCATCATAAAGCAAAAGGACGAAGACTGAAAGAATGCGGCGCCTTTCAAAATTCACGGCCATGAAATTAAAGCCCTAATTTAAAATAAACAAAATA